GAGACTTTTCCTTTATACTTTAAGAAATTCTTAAAGTAAGCCAAACGGGAAACCCAGGCCCCTTGACCGTTCAAATTCCTTGAAACTCAGATCCTGGACACCTTTCTGTGAGCCTACTTACGTGGTCTAATCGGTTTTTTGATCTACGTTGAAAAATTTGAGTTTTTGAGCAAAATTGGTTTTACCCCGATTTGGTCTAAAATTAGCATATGAGACCGCTAAAACTTGCAACTTTTTAAATTTCTTCAATGAATTAACTATTTTTGCGCAATTTTTTTACATAATCCGAAAGAATACATCCTAAGGAGTTGCACGGAATCGGTTTTGGCTTTTCAATGTATTTTTAACGGGGAGGAAAAATGACTTTTGCTTGGCCGGTTTTCAAACCTTCATTTGAGTTGAAATTTCCGAACACATTTTTCTCCATGTGGCCATTCTCCAATTTTTACCAAACTCACCCTGAATGAGGTTGAAATATCAATAGAAACCGAGGTAGAAAAATATTTCTGGGTTTTTGCACTGGTAGTGCGATAGGAGCGATCAAATATCACGAAGTTTTGACTTGCAATATGCAAATTAGCATTTTGTTTACATTTACTCAGAGAGATCATTCGAATGAAATTTTTTCTGAAACATCGAAACCAACCAAATATATCATCTGATCGAATTAAATGAAGTAATTACTAGTATATTAGACACTTTCAAACAATAAAAGCGATTGTATCTTGACCTTTAGCCCCATATTTCCTTCTGACGGTTTCTGTGACGATCATTCCAATAGTTGGCCACTCTAAAATTCTCGAAATGAAACTATATTATTATTTTGCATGATTGCTATAGAAAAATACAGCTTTTTAAAGCAGTAAATATGCTAATAAGTAAAAGCGCAAACGTTATAAAGGAATTTAAGTCAGTTTTTTTAGAGCGGCCGTCCATAAATATCGACGTAAGGTGTGCAAGATCGAAAAAACAAATTCTTTCAAACTTTGTCAGAACATAGCTATAGATAAGCTAATTCTAGAAATATAACTCTTAGTTCGCTCAGATTTTTATTTTTGACGAAACACGAGAATTTCATTTTTCGGGCTGACAGGCCGGTTTCCCAAGGCCAAACCATGGATTCTTTTGAGCTCGATCACTACTCCTCCTAAAAACTGACCGAAAATCTAAATGCATGTCGTAAAAGTAAACATATTACTTTATCGTTTAGGAGCAGATTGTTATGAAATAACAAATTTTGAATTTTTTACAGAATTTTTAAGTTATGCAAATTTTACCGATTTTCAAGAACTCAAAAATAGCGCAACTTTAGAGGCCAAAATCGCCAATTGGACAGCCTGACTAAACAATATTCCTGTAAAAGAACATTGCCTCGACTTTAAATTTCTGCAATAAAATTTTTGGGCTACTCAAAAGAAAATATTTTAGAGCGCCGAACGTGAGTGACCTTGAAGCGAAAATAATTCGTTACTTAGTAAAGATCGTGTCTGATAAGTTCGACAGAACCAAACAAAACTGCTTAATTC